ATTATAATTCTTCCTAAACATTTTTGTGTTCTTTACTCTCATCAATTTATCAATTAACATGAACAAGACCGCACGTTAACTACTAGCTTCGTAGTATAAGCTACTGTATAACCAACCAACATATTTAAATGTACAAATTAAATATTTGTTTTTCTTAAGTTTATATAAATAATTTACTTAGTCTGATCACATTCTTGAATCTTCAATACTAGTTTATTTGTCTAAACTATATATATATAATTTTAATTAACAAAAGATAAGAAATTTTACTTTTGGAAACGTGGGTGACGTTAGCAGCATTGTGATGACCATGTGAGATGTATCAAATCTTAAAGTCGGCTTCATGTGCCTAAGTCATAATCATGCAAATGCTTACGACTCTTTTGATTAATTAATTATTTATTATTTGATACCAAATCTCCCCAATTGTTTTAATTTCCCAAATACCCATTTCAGTTGATGCTACTATTAATTAATTTATGTTTGGAAAAAGATTACCTATGCTTGTAATTAGCCATAAATATTATCAATGTCTGTTCCGAATTTGAAATGAATATGTATGTGACTAAGTGAATATCTGTTTTGTAACGTATTGGCAACAATGTTATTTAATTTCACTAAGTGAATATCTATTATTCTCTCTGTTTTGTAACGTATTGGCAACAATGTTATTTAATTTCACTAAGTGAATATCTATTATTCTCTCTCACTAGTCACCACCCCCTTTCCCCAATGTTATTTAGTTTCATGTATCTTTTCATCTTATATGATACATTATAACAAAAGCAAGATAATTTGAAAAAATTCTAATATCCTTGAAGTTGGTCAATCGTCCCAAACTTAAATACTACAAACTAAGACATGAGCTCGTCGTCAAACGTTCACATCATTCTATATCACTAGCATGCTACAGACAATGAAAAGGAAAATTAAGTTAATTTGTTGCTAAATTTCGTTTTTGGCCAAACAAGATTAAGACAATAGTCAACATCTTCCTCTGGAATAGCACCTCCATCGTCAGTGACCATTTTTGGTTTCTGGATTTAATATATATTTTTTTCTTCAAAAATTATAAATCTTTGAAATGGGTTTATTAAGATTATTGGCTGTAGTTTTCGATAGTTAGCTTATATTAACAGTCTATGATCGACTAGAAAACAAGACGTAAACATACACTGATACAAGTTATGTAATCAAAATCCACGTGCTTGGTTACTCTTACGTTGGCCGTAATCTACGGGGCCGCTTTGTAGGACAAAATATTTAACATTAAATACTTTAAATTGTCTAGTATATTTCTTTAGTATAGATTAAAAAGTTCATCTAGTTAATCTTCAATCTCGTTACGTATAACTTATCTTCCTAATTAAATTGTTAAGGTGAGTGTTCTCCACCTGGTTACTTTTGTTTGTGACCCACTTACTCGCACTTAAACCTGTCTGACCCAGATATATAAGTAAGGCCCAATTTGATTATACCGGAATTTGGTTTGTCATTTAACCTACCCGGTTTACGTGAAACTAACCATTACATTTTTAGAATCCCTCAAACTTGACAGGTGTGAACAAAAAGATACGGAAACATGCATGTTCACAAAAAAACATACGGAAAGAAAAGATAAGAAATAGCAAAAACGCATTTGAGTAATCGAATCCAGCTTTTTATCACCAAAGAAAAATGCTGTCACCTATTTTCTTTTTTCTTTTTAACTTTTTTAAAACCTAGACAATATTAAGGTTATCCAATTGAAATGCTCATCGTTTTCATTATAATTATACATGTTTTAGACTTTTAGTGACATCGTGATTTCATGTACATGCTACATATATTATGTGTTACACACATAATCACCACATCGAGATCAACCCAAAGGAAAATTAGATCCGTTTTCTCTTTTTTTTTTCTTTTTTTTTTTTTAATTCATAAAGAAATCTCTCAATTGACTCTAATGTTTTTATAATGTTGACTGTAGTATTTTTGAAAAGGCATAAAAAGGTTATCCCTAAAATAAATGTGGAATGTCTTTGACAAGTCAAACTTCTTTTAATATGAGTGGTGGAGACTGGTGACGATGGCGTCTCTTGAGTGCTGTTGTATCATTGATCGGAATGGATTGAATATTACTACACATAACGCATTGATCAAGACGCTTATAACTACTATTTTTCAAGACCGTTAATTTAGGGATTGCCATAAAAAGCGCGAAGCAAACCGAATTGGAATTAGTTGAAATCTAAACCAAACGAATTCTATTTTAAATTTAACGGTCAAAATATTTTGTACCGAAACTAAAAAAAACTAACTAGACTTGTGATGCAACTAAACAAAACCAAACGAATAAATCAAAGTACATTGACGATTAATAATTTTTACATAGATATGGAAATACATTTAATAATTACCTAAACGGAATAAAACTAACTCACCAATACTGAAATAATCAATATAAACCGAACTAGAGAGAACCTAACGGAACAAAAATTCCAGTTTTAGTTCGGTAATTCTTTAGTAATCTCAACTCGAACAAAAGTTTTGACAACCCGAACATAATAGAACCAATGTAAATTTTGTTTTAGTTACTTTTCACAAAATTAAAGAATTTTAAACCCAAAATTTTAATTGTAAAACTGTAAACCGAACACCGAGACCCAATCGATATTGTTCTATTTAAGTTAAAACAAATATCAATTGACCAAAACAAGTTTTCTTTGAAGGATTTTGTTTTAATTATAAAAATTTTAGATGAGAACGTTAGGTTTGGTATCGATCATAAACGTATATTAATTACAAATGTTGTTTTTTTTTTTGTTAAAGGAATTTACACATTGTTTCTGAGTGGGTTTTAAAAAGACTTTTTAGAAACGTTCCTTTTCAAAGGGGCTCTTTAAATATTGGCCTTATGTTGGCACATGCCTAAGTTAAAACCAAGTTGCACCTCCAATAGCGACGCAACACATATATGCTTAATGCCTAAACCCTAATTATCATTATACCTTTTCCTTTCTCTTTATTGAGAATTTACAAATATCAAAATAGTTTAGAAGTTCACAAGATTTCATAATTAATCTTCTATATATTTTGAAGACAATAATCTAAAATTATCCCACAAGTTAATACTCTTTTTGTAAAATGTATTTCTTGAATCTCCACATTTTTCTACAACTAGCTAGAAAAAAATCAAATTATCTTTTTTTTTTTAAACACCAATATGTATCTAGATAAAAATAAATCTTTTCTTTTTATTTTGTCTTGTGGAACAATATCTGAGGAAATCTTTGTTCTTTGTTTGTAAAATTCCTCACCTCCTAAATTGAATTAGTCGATCGAGTATACGACCCTACGAACATGGCTATCTTGCTGGGACCAAATTGAATAAAAGCTTTCACGTCATTTTTTCTTTGTTTGATGAAATGTCAATGATTTTGCTTCTTTATACAATCTTGGATAAGATACCGTTATAAATATTAATCGTTGCCATTGAGACTTAAGGACAGTCTACAAGCCTAGCATCTATTTTCAGACAAATCTTTCACGAAGAAGGCTATATTTTCAGATAAAATATATTACTTTCTTAACATCTGATTATTTCATATTTTCGTATAACTCTTTTTTCTTGTGAACATCAGCCCAAACATGTCACGTGAAAAGAAGTAAAATTGGTCCCTACGTATCGTGGAACACTTGACACTTGAATGAACAGAAGCAACCACACAAATAATATGTATTTTTTTCCTTGTAGGCCGAGCCATAAACTAGTCATTCTCATGAAATCGTCACTTGTTTAAACCATTATCTATTCGTTTACTCGAAAAACTGTTTTTTTTTTATAACACACCAAAAAATGTTAGTAAATATTGTATTTGTGTGAGTATATATATTAGATATTGTATTCCTCAGCGATGGTATATCATTAAACCAAATTAGGCCGTCTTCATCTGATTAATTGAAAAGTATTCATTTCATCAAGCGATTTCTCCTTTAAATTGTCAACAAAATAGTGTAAAATAAGAAATGCATATTTCAATATGTTGTTAAGAGTGTCGACCAATATCAGTTATTCTGGTAGAGATTCTGACCAATGTAATGAGAAAAAAGATTTTTAGATGACTTTGTGTAAGTTGGTTTAGGAAAACGACTTTTTGTATGAATAGATAGGTATGTATTTGTCTATTCCTAACGACGACATATAGAGACCTTCCATATTCTTTTAAAATATGGAAGGATAAAAGGAGAAAAGATGTGATAAACTAGGGGTGGACATAAAAACCAAATACATAATTCAAAAAATTAAATATACAGAAAATACGTACACATTAGAATCTTTATAGTATTAGTCAAATTAACTAGTTATTTTTATTATTTTTTTATCCAAAACCAAACTCGATTAAGTTATTTCTAATTTTCTATTATTTAGTTCATTTTATAGTAAATTATGAACAAAACTAAACCGAAAAACCGAATGCTTCTGACAGTTTGAAAAAATTAAAAAGGAAAAAATGGGAGCGTTTGGTACGTGAAAATAAACGGTGCATCGTGAGAAAGTGGATATGACAATGACGTGAACCTCTCATGTGCAACTTTGGGAACATGCAACATGTTTCTAACCTTTTCTTCTTACTTCCGTTGCTGTAGCCGCATGCACCACCCACACTGCGACATTTCTTTTTTCCCGTATCTTCCCGGATAATCCTTAAATCTCTTCATTTTTTTAATTGGCACTTTTTTGGAATTCTTTTTTGTGGTCTCTATCTAATTTAGATATATTTGATACACATTTCTAGCTATTAGTAATAGATAGGTATTAAATAATTACATGGCACGTTAGAGACTTCAGAGTCTTGAGAATTAATGACTGTCTCTCAAAAGTCAAAACAATATATTTTTCGTTCTTTGTATATTCCTATGGTATGAAACTGGAAAATACATTTTATCTTTGTTTTCAACAACACTGGACTATTGGAAAAAAAAAGTGTTCTGATAAAACCTCACAACTTTTTTGGTTGTCTCACGTCCAAAGAAGACGTTTCCCATGATCATGGGCTTTTGATTTGTCTCATAAATCTTAGCCCATACTTGGCCCAGTACATTCAAACTCAACATAAAGTCTTGTCTTACAACAAAGAGTGGCGAAATGTTTCAAATATTGGGAATCAATTTGCATAAACAGGCAATGAAGTCAACATTTGACGCTTTGTAGGCTGCTCCATAGACATGAGGTCTTACTTGTAGGCTGCTCCATAGACATGAGGTCTTACTTGTAGGCTGCTCCATAGACATGAGGTCTTATAATCCAAGGGAAACTATAGATTGCCGTATTGTTGATCTCACTGCCACCATCGAAACCGGCATCCGAAATGTATAAGTCGGTGTTTCTTGTTAAATGGCATCCATCTGCAACTACTTGCTGTATTGGATCCAATACATTCTGAACATGCCTAAAAAAAGATCCATCTGCACCCCCAAATGAGAAAACTTTGGATTTCAGTTTTGTCTTTTCAAGAGGTTTGATGTAAAAGTTTTGTATATATACCTTTAGCCGCTACGTGCTCGATGAATAGGAAAATCCCACCCGGTTTCAGCACCCGCTTGATCTCTGAAAATGACAGTCGGTTAAAAGGATATTGTCCAGTGAGATCTCTTAAGGGTTTATGAAGTTTACCATTGAGTGTTTGAGTGACATCAGAGACAGAACATAGAACAAGTGTTGCAACCACTGCATCCATAGAGTCATCATCTAATGGTATAGCTTCTCCTACCTAAGATAAACAGAGAAGTAACATCAGAGGATTACAAAAAGAGATGTCTCACAATCAAAACCAAGCGTATCTACTTACTCCTTGAATGAATCTAAAGTTTTCAGGTTTCATCCCAGCTTCTCTAGCAGTATCAAATGCGTACTTTTCCATTTTGTGGTTCGGGTCCATACCAAAAACACAGACGTTTTCATTACCGGCAAAGTACTTCAGATTAAGACCTGTACCAACACCAATCTCCAGCACTGTTTCTGCTTTACCAGCCAATTTTTCGAATAGTTTTCTCTTGTAATCGGCGATCTTACCAAATAACACAAAGCAGGAAAAAGATCCATCATTCTCAAGAAATGGATCAAAAAATGATGCATTCAAGTAACAAAGACTGACCTCTGCTTCATAAGATCGCATTCCTGTGCTTAAGAACCAAGCAAAAAGCTCCTTATACCAATCTGGCCTCTGAGGATGAAATGTTTCTGACACATCCTAATGAGTAGTGCAGATAAATCTCGGTCAAAATACAGTTCCTCCACATATCAAGTATATAAGAGGACCATATTCATTCAAAGTACCAAACTTAGCATTTTGGAGACAACCCTATAGAAAAACCACAATCGATCTTTGTGCCAAAGAAACACATTCTTTACTAGTAAAATCATGTCACACAAGTAAAAAGCTGGTGCCTATACACAAAATGCATCTAGGAGAAAGATAAAAAGTAAAAAAGAATCACCTTGGAACGCGAAGCATTAGGAGAATAGATGGGAAGAAAGGGCATCGTCGGGCTAGCTGCTTCAAGAAAATGTTTTCTTCCACATGAACATAAGCTGGTGTAGGATGAGCCTGAAGGAAGGTGATGACTCTTTACAGTTTGAGCATGAAGTTGATCTCGTGAAGCTCTAATCACTCTGCGAGGTGAGTATGTGAGGAAGGCGATGAAAGAACTCGAGTCATCATCATCATCATCATAATGGCCAAAATGATCTTACAATCTCAGATCTTAGTCTTTAGAATAGTCTTCAGCTTTCTAGGGAATAATTTATCTCATCTTGGCAGGTGAAACGTAACCTCGAACATTGTTTATGTAATAATTTAGAGTTTCACTTCCAAGATGACTGAAGCTTTTTGAATTAGATATTGTTGTTTTTATTCAACAAGGACACCCATATCGATAACATACTTAATTATCATACTATATAAAATAGACTAGAGCCATCATTTAAACTTATGTATATCATTGAAATGTACAATCATCATCATACCTTGGATGAGTCTAAGAGACATTTTCTTGTTTTTTTTTTTTTTTTTTTTTAATTGTAAGCAACTCCATAGACATGAGAGCTTATGTAAGCAAACCTAGAAAGAGATGCCTTTTTAACATCTGCACCGCCATTGAACCGGGCTTCTAAAATCGACTCTCCGGTGTGCCTTGTCAAGTGACATCCATCGGCAACAACTTGTTGCAATGGGTCCAACACATTCTGCACCAACCTCAGAAATGTACCATCTGCTCAGCCAAAAGAAGACAAGCCAAACAATGGATTCAGTTTCATCTGTTCTCCTTAATGGACTCTGATGAATATGAAAGCCTTTCATTTGCTTCTCTTCGATGGAAGTTTTATTTTCCCAGAATGTATCCTAATTTTTGAGTCAAAAGTAATACCTTCCGCGGCAACATGTTCTATGAAAATGAATGTCCCTCCCGGTCTTAGTACCCGTTTTATCTCTGTAACAAAACCACAGAATTCAAACTTGTCATTGAGCATTCTTAAGATGTTGAATTCAAAGGAGGTAAACAGTTACCATTGAGCGTCCGAGTGACATCCGCGACAGAACAAAGCACGAGAGTTCCCACGACTGCATCAACTGATGCATCTTCTAACGGTATAGACTCTCCAAGCTAAACACATTAACAGAAAATGTAGCATCAGGGGGATGCCAATGATGTCATATCTGATCTATATCACAAAGTTACCGCATGAATGAATGTGAAATCTTCGGGTTTCAAGCCTGCTTCTTCAGCGGATTTGCGCGCATAACTTTCCATCCTAGCATTTGGATCAATACCAATAACAGAAAGGTTTGGAATCGCTGTGTAGTACTTGAAATTAGGACCTGTTCCAATGCCAATCTCCAAAACTTTTTCTGCTTTCCCAACTAAATTATCAAAGAGTTTCATCTTGTAATCTGAAATCTGACAAAAGAATAATAATAAGACATAAAGGAATGTGTAAGAAACAAAAACTGAAAATAAACTCATGAAAGTCACTAGCCTCTTTCTCATATGATTCCATCTCTGTATTCATAGACCAAGCAAAGAATTCTTCATACCAATCTGGCTTTGGAGTTTGGAGGACGTAATCTTTCCAAATCTTCCTAATAATAAAGTGAATTTAGATTATTAAAGGATGCATTTTTTATCAATTCTAGATAAACCCTAAAGTTCTTTAACACAAAAACAGAGGAAGAAACCGTTGAGGTAGAAGCGGAAGAGGGAGATATGGGAAGAAATGGTATTGAAGTCATAGCTCCTATGAAATGTCTTCTTCCACAAGGACAGAAGCTGAAAGAGGAGACAGAATCTGTCGTAATGAGATTCTTCTGGGTTTTGATGGAATCTTGCAAAGCCCAAATCTTTCTTGGAGGTGAGTGTATAATCCTCAAGATCGGTGAAGAAGATGAGAAGTGCAGGATCGCCATTCTTTTAACTTGAAAAAGCTCAAATTACTCATATACCAAAACAGAGCAGTGAAATAATATGAAGATAGGCTTTTTCTACTTCAGATTCTGTCCACAAATAAAATCCTTATAATTACATATTAGTAGCTCATAATTGGCATTTTGTTCTCATTATGAAACATTATTTAGTAATAAATTACTCAGAATTAATCCACAGAGTTGATAGTTCATAATAAAAAACAGAGTCTTGAAACAGAGAATTAGAATCCAAAACAGGGTTTTTAAATAGACCTTGACACATTATTACAACAGAAGAACCGAAACAAAACACAAACTAAACTCTTATTATCTCCGACAATATATGGAGGACTTATTCAACTTGAACTTAGTCAAATTGACGCATTATTCAAACAGAAATATTCAACTTGAACTTAGTCAAATTGACTCATTATTTCAAACAACAAGAGAACTTTTTATTCTTCAAGAGTCTTGAAACAGAGGACTAGAAACAGAGTCTTGCAAATTAATGATTATTAATTATACGCAACTCCGTAGATATGAGGGCTTAAGTGATAGAAGCTAGTAAGAGAAGCCTTGTTGATATCAACACCACCGTTGAAACCAGCTTTTATAATGGATTCTCCTGTTGGTCTCGTTAGATGACATCCATCGGCAACGACTTGTTGCACTGGATCCAACACATTTTGCACCATCCTCAGAAATGATCGATCTACACAACAAAATAGAGACAAAACTTTAGATTAAGCATTCATAGTTTCTGTAATTGATGGCAAAAGAGATACCTTCAGCTGCAACATGTTCCACGAAGAGGTAACGCCCTCCCGGTTTTAGAATCCGCTTTATCTCTGTAATATCCATATGTTAATTCATTGTTGAATTAGAAGTTCATGAAAGTTTTAACAAGTATGTTTGGTTTATAACAAGTAAACAGTTACCGTTGAGGGTTTGAGTGACGTCTGTGACAGAACACATAACGAGACTTGTAACAACTGCGTCAACGGATGCATCTTCTAACGGTATACATTCTGCGACCTAATCATAAGATTAACAAGGAAATGTTTTAGCATTAGGGAAATGCAAATTATTATGGATTTAAGGAATATATATAAAAAGGCCGTTACCGCGTGAATGAATTTGAAGTCTTCGGATTTCAATCCTGCTTGTATAGCGGATTTTCGTGCGTAGCTTTCCATTTTAGGGTTTGGATCTACACCAAGAATAGAGACGTTTGGAAGAGTGTTGTAGTACTTGATATTGGGACCAGCTCCGATGCCAATCTCCAAAACCTTTTCTGCGTTTCCGACTTGGTTAAAGAGTTTCTTCTTGTAACCCGCAATCTATCAAAAGAAGAAGAAGAAAGATAAATAAATGGAATGTAAAAATGCATTCAACTTCATGATCGAAGTCACTCTAACCTCTTTCTCGTATCTTTCCATTCCTGAACTCCTAAACCAACCGTAGAGCTCGAAATACCAATCTGGTTTTGGTGGACGCAATTTGTTCAAGACCTCCTAATATGAAGAGATTTTGATACTACATAAGTACATAACCTTTATAAATTAATAGAATATCATAGTCCCGACATTATTCATTATAAAAGGCAAGAAGAGGTTTCATAATACTATGTTTGCGACCTGAGTACTCTACTAAGTGACAACTTATGGTCGTTATCTTTCTATATATAGCTACATGTAGTAGTTAACTGAATCGGAGGTTGGTTAAGAATGTTTCTCAATGGTTTAACATATATAAGAGAAATTGGGAAGCAAACCGATGAGTTAGATTGAGCAGCGTGGGAGGGAGGGATGGGAAGAAACGGCGTCGTAGTCGTAGCATCTCCTAGGAAATGCCTTCTTCCGCAAGGACATAAGCTGAGCTTAGAGGAGCCAGAATCTGTCGCATTGAGAATATTCTTCGGTATTTTGACAGAACATCTAATTGTTGTTCTTCTTCTTCTTTGAGGTGAATCTAAAATGTTCACCGAGATCGGTGAGGAAAGTGTGCAATGCAGGCTCGTCATTGCTAGAGCTCACACAACTTACTCGTCTCAGTATCTTCTTATTATATAGCTAAACATTTTTTTATTACTGTTCTGTTCCAATAAATTTTAGAGAAATTGTTAAAAATGCCCCATTTGAGAGTCCATTTTTAAGTTTGTCCTCTTTTAATTTTTAATGACCATTTTACCCTTATTTGAAACAAAATTAGATCCACAAAATACAAAATATTTTTTGGCGGGAAAAGTGATCCCGCAATTTTCCCGCCAAAACACTTGTAAAAACTTTTAAAATACCTTGTAAAAATTTTCCCGCCAAAAATTTTTTTTTGCGGGAAAGTGATTCCGCAATTTTTTTGGCGGGAAAAATTTACAAGGTATTTTAAAGGTTTTACAGAGTATTTACAAGTGTATTGTAAGGTTTTACAATGTATTTTAAAAGGTTTTACAAGGTACTTATAAGGTTTTATAAGGTATTTATAACTTGTAAAACCTTATAAAAAACTTGTAAAACCTTATAAAATAGCTTGTAAAATCTTATAACTATCTTATAAATACGTTGTAAAACCTTTTAAAATACATTGTA